TAAATCACCCAAAATTGATGTCCTAGCATTTTAAATACTTCTTCCATTACTCAACAAGAAAAAACAAGAGCCAAGCAACGAAAGCCCCCACATAAACATCGTGTAGTGCAAAGTGGTGAACGGCAGCGAGGCCCCCAAATCGCGCCAATAACAATTTGTTTTTTATTTTTATTTTTTAATTTTTGCTTGGCTCCATATTCCTCCACGTAACGTCCCAACTACCACCTAAAACCCCGGTCACCTCACCTGCGCTGCCCGTTTAAACAAACTGGTGCTCACATATTCGTCACGCTCTCAGCTCTCAGAGAGTCAACAATCATATAAAGACACAAACAAACAAAAAAAAAAAGAAGAAAGAGTGAAAAGGTTCGGCTGCCATGGACGCAGCTGCGCAGCTCGTCTACTGCGGAATAGATCCTCTACACCGCACCTCGACATCCTATGGAAAGAGCAGGAGTCGCAGGTTTTTCCCCAGAATCAAGCGGAACTCCGTTGTGAGAGCCATTGCAACCGAGCCTAGACCATCATCGGATACCAAGCAGACAAAAGTCATTGACGAATCCCCCAAAACCGCGTCGTACAAGCCGGTGAATGGTGCATCCTCTGTAAGTGTTGATAGGTCCTTCTCTATTTGGTTGTGATTGGAAGTTTCTAGAATCTATTGACTTCGGATCCTTTAGGGAAAAATTAGTTCACTTTTCATAGGTGAAGGTTTTTTTTTTTTTTTCTTTTTTANGCTAATTGCGATCAAGCTAAGTGATGAGGACTAACTGTTATTGTTGATGAATTGTTAGTACATGTTCTAATAGCTTGAAAGGAAAATACTTTGAGATAATTCGAAGAGAGCGTAATTTAAACGATGTATGTTCACCTGATACAGTTCGAAAATGTAAAAATTAGCATTGTCTGTGATGAAAGTGATGAAGAAACTTGTAAAGAAAGAAGTGATGATAAATTAGTAAAACAAATAAATAAACAAATGAGAACCTGAAAGATAGACTTTTGAATGATAAATGTGAAATATCTCCTCAAATGTTTTATGTCCTTCTCCCACTTTTAATTAGCTGCCTCCTGATTTAGTTCAGTTTCCTGAAGAGGGATAAAGCTAGTTGTACTTTGATGCATTCTTTGATGCCTCACCTCCTATTTTGTGATTTTGAACTGGCAGAGAATGCAAGATGTTTCAAAAGAGATCAAAAGGGTGAGGGCACAAATGGAAGAGAATGAGCAGTTGGCTATCCTTATGCAAGGGCTTCGGGGTCAAAATTTGAATGACACACTATTTGCGGATGATAGTATCAAGCTTCGTTTAGTTGAGGTTGGTAAAGTTCATCTGACTTGTTCTGATTGATTGTCTTGCTTTGTTCTTCTAATACTCCCTCTCTCTCTCTCTCTCTCTCTCTCTCTCTCTCTGTCTTTACCTCCTCTATTCTTAGTCATCTTGAGACCATTTTCACAGTTAGCCCTGAAACCACGTAGTTTTGTTGAATATTGTAAATGGCAGTAAAGCTGTTGATTTTTTCTAGCTTACATATTAGTAATGGCATATTTTCACATGCTAATACTTGTCAATTTTGATGTATTAATGAATGACTTTAATGATGACTGAATATCGCAATGAAATGCATTTTGCCTTTTTCAACTACCTTGGAATGTTACTCTTCTCCTGTGAACTCAATAACATAAATAAAAACACATATTTAAATAACATGTGGTTCTTGAAGAACAAGATGATTATATATCTCTTACAAAGTAATACTCATATGTTTTATTAAAACAAAAAATGAAAATATTATAAGTAGGGATTACAAAACTATCTTGAGGTTAAGGACATTTACATAAACAACCTACCTAAATTTGATAATTACAGAAATTTCCCTTGAGGTTTGAATTTTTCTTACATTTTGGCCCTAGTGTATGATGAGTTGAAAGAATGTACTGACCACATCAAATATAATCCATCTACTTAACATCTCATTGCTAGATGTGGTTTGTCCCACATTAATTACCTGCTAGCCTGTAGCTGTGTATTGAGTGTAGGTTGAGAACCCTCTCCTTTGAGTTAGCTTTTGAGGGTGAGTTTTACCAACACTCCCTTTTATCATGGTATCAGAGCATCCAAAAGTTTGCTTGTTTGTCTGCCTTGTTGGTTTTTGGACCTAGCCCATTTGGTTTGGCACGCTACTTGTGAGGGCTGGTGTTAGAAATTCGTGGGTTGGGCGCTCTCTCCTTTGAAGCTAACTTTTGGAGATGAGTTCTACCTAGGACCACTTATCCAACTTTTCATATGGATACTTGTAATATTTAGATATTTCAATAAATGAGGAATATAAAAAGTAAAGTGAGACTAAAAGTCGGGGACATTTGTAAAATTGGAAAATTAAGGGATTTTATAACTATCAAATATTAGAATTTCAGTTTGTGTTAACGATCAGAGCAGAAAGTATAACTTTTAATTTCCAATTAGCTTGCTTTTTTTTTTAAAAAAAAAAAGTAAAATGGCATTAGTTGTAGACTTTGTAATACCCTCAAAATTTAAAAGGCAAAGCAGTAAGCTACTTATCTTTTTGTTTATAACGTTCTCGCACTTTATCATATGTTTCATATTACTAGTTATACTATGGATATTTCCACTTGTTATATACAACAACAACAACAACAACAACAACAACATACCCAGTATAATCCCAACAGGTTGGAGTCTGGGGGGGTCAGTTGTATGCAGACCTTACCCTTGTAATTATACAAGGAGGCTGTTTCCGTAGCGATCCAAGGTGCATTGCGCCGTTTGATATATTTTTTTTTTCTAGAAACTTCACTAATAGAAGAAGCACTAGAATTTAATTGAGCCATTTCCACTTGTTATATAATATAACTAAATATGGCAAACATTAGTTTTCTCGTTTTTTTATTTGTTGGAACTGTTGTGCTTGATGTTGAAATGGTGTTCTTCATACTTGATACTATTGAATGATTTTTCCTTTTCTTTTTTTTCTTTCCCTTTTGGTGAGAACTCATAACATTGATGATATAAACTCCAGGTAGATGAGAGCAGTGAGTTCTTACCACTGGTGTATGATCCTGATAGCATTGCTGCTTACTGGGGAAAACGACCACGTGCTGTTGCTACACGTATTGTTCAGTTATTGTCCGTTGCTGGAGGGTTTCTCTCTCGCCTTATCTGGGATCTAGTAAATAATAAGATAAAAGAGGTGAGGTTCAGCATCATCTGTCTTCTTAAACTGCCAATATATATTTGATTCTGTATCAAATTGTCAGATACGCTACAAGCATACTAGGTACCTTCGATAAGCAATAGATTTTAGTCCTGCGACCTTCAGTTTAATAATTATATTATGGTTTGACTTGGATTGAAGGTTTTTTATTCATCTTTGAGCAATGTGATAAGTTTCTTTTTGAACTAGAAATGTTGTGTGGCCTGGAAGTTCCATTCTTGAATATCTAGGAATTACAGTGTATTTAGCATGGCCCACAATAAAGGAGAAGCAAGGATAATGCAGATGAGCACAATAAAGGAGAAGCAATGATAATGCAGATGAGCTTTCAAAGCGACCGAGAGATTGGAAAAGGAATTGCAGGATTTGTTTAGAAGATTTTAGAGGGCCGTATGCCCAAACTTGTTTAGATGCTTAGGAATAGATTTTTGATGTGAGGCTTTGTCTGATTTTTCGAGAATCCAACAAAAATAAATGAACTTTTATAGAAATGTCCACCACCTGTCTAATCATTTGGAGAACCGTGATTGTCTTTTGACCGAAGTGACAGAGACCTCTATTAACTTCGGTAAGAACGTTGAACTGAAAATTGTATTTTCCAGTATTCTGTGTAGTATATACGTAATGCAGCTTGTTAATGTAGCTGCTAGGCTTTGAACTGGCCTTGACAAAGAATATAATTGAAACTCTTACCATGTAATGCAATCCTGATACTTTGATTCATTTAATTCCAGGTGGACCTTAAAATTGGCATGTCGCTGTACTAACATGAATCTGTAATTAGCAAAAAGTTGTTTAATATCATGGCTATAGTGAACTTTAAACTATATTTTGCTTTACCGCCCTTATATGTTTACAGACCAGAATTTTGTTGAATGGATATCATCTCTCTGAGTGCCATATGCATGTAGACTTAGTTTAAACAGTTTCAGCAGGAAAGAAACACATAGAGAGGAAGGATGGGGGTGGAATTACAGAAAAAGAGATTTTGATTTGCATTGCTTAAGCTCTACCATGTCTGTTGAAATGGTCTCAGACATGCTAATGTGTAAGACCATCAAAAGGGTGTATATGAGAAGTTAAGCCGTAGTGCTGTGAACCTAATGAATGGGCTGCCATTCGAGGTATACCATATTCTTCAATGACTATGTACGAGGGTGAAGTTTGACTAGAAAGGGTGCTTCAGGGGACGTGAACACGTTCTGGCATGAATGGAATGTGTTCTGTACAAATCTTGTTTATGCTATCTGACAAAATTTTACTAATGGAATCGTAATTATAAGATTGAGTAGGTAAATAAAATCATTTTCTGTTTAATCATGTTTTTGTTATGA